AACCTCCAAACAGTTTTCCATAGTGGTTGTACTAGTTTGCATTCCCACCAGCAGTGCAGGAGAGTTCCTTTTTCTCTACATCCTCGCCAACATTTGTTGTTCCTAGTTGTTTGAAGATGTGCCATTCTCACTGGGGTGAGGTGGTCAGAAAATGTTTTAAGTCAGTATTTTCCCTATTTGTTGATATGAATATTCTAGCTTCAAGTAGTTTACTCGCTGTTCATAATTTTCCAAGAGAACCCATTTCACTGATGTACACAGAACTGAGGTACAAGCCAGAGGTGCAGGGGCAGTGAGCAGATTCACCAGAAACAGAGTGGGGAGAAGAATAGGCAGATTGACGAAGTACACTGCTGAAGGGAGCAGCGGGCAGGTCAGGAGAGGTCTGCCGCACCATATGGCATGTCATGGCCATGTGGCCCAGGGGCGGGGATCAAACTCATGCTGAAGGCACTGTACCACCAGAGAGGGTCCAGGAACCCATTTTTACTGCATATAGTATATTCTAGTTGTTCTCAAAGTATAAATAGTGTCATCACCATCTATATTTAGAAACTTCTTAACTTTAAAAAAAATGTAGATTTTTGTACAAACAGCAGACGTGCTGAATCAGAAACTCCAGTGTCCCCATGCCTGCTTTTACATGCCTATGGGTGATTGCTATCTGTGCTAAACTTAAGAATGGTTTGTTCTATAAACTTGTTGAAACTATTTAGACATTCAAACCTGGACAAGCGCTATATCATGATTCAAATACAGAATGCTTGTTTTCAACCCCTGTGGCCCTATTGCTATACTATCATCCCCAACCCAACTTTGCCAAGAGGCAGCCTTAGGTATGGAATCTATTTTAGAGGACATGTGGTCAGAGAGCACAATTTTGGATTCTACTTGCCTCTATAATCCTGATCAGTTCTCCTACCTACTACAGTAGTGTGATACAGAGAAATGTCCAAAGGTCAGTCCTTGAGACTTGAAAATGGAACTTTCAGTTCCATTGATAAAAAAAACATCTGTGATATAAACAAGAAAATCAAGTTTTGTGAACTTTTCATTTGCTAAATTCAATCTGACAATTTAGCATACGTTACAGTGAAAACAAGAAATAATCTAATATATGGAGACTGAAAGTATAGAACAAAGTTACTTATGTAAATAACTGAAATTTCACACACACACACACCATTAATTTAATTTTATCAACATTTAAGGTATACCATCTGAGGATAAAATGCATAGCACACCACATCTTATTTTGGAAGCTTAGATAATTTACACAGAGGAACAGAAGTCTGCCTATAAAAGAAATGACTAATTTTCTGGGGTAAATAAAGGTAGTTCCCCACTGAAGGCCTTTAAAAAAAATCATTAACAAAGTCAAAGCACTTTAAAAGAGGTTATTTCCAAGGCAAAATGATCACTATCACTGTCACACATTTAAACATTTTATCAAAATTACTATTAGTGAATAGGTGCTAGTTACTACCCTAAGCATTTTGCATGTGGTACAACACAATCGTCACAAATATTATGCAGATTCCAGGGTTATACCCATTTCACAGAGGAAATAAATTGAGACTCAGTGACATGAAAGTAACTTGCCGGCACTACTTCTGGACGCCCGGCTAAACTTATTCAAAATCACTAAATAAACATTCACTCATCTGGACTCAGACCTTAGCTCTGTGTAGATGGCTCCAGCAGTCTGCCAGCCAGCCTGAGCCTGGGAGGAATGGAGCAGCCTCATTGCTTTGGCGCACCGCTGGGCCAGAACAGCACCCATGATGATGTGGTGGGCCTGACAGAGCCCTCCACCTCGTGGGAGGCAGAGATCAAAGTGATAAAAGGACAGAGTGGGAGCTGTAGTTTTATTTCCCTGTTTGTTTTTCACTTGATTCTTAAAAACAGACCTATTAATCATGTAGTTTGTGGTTTTGGTCATTTCACTGACTGCTAACACATTTGAATCTCTGAGGCAAGCATTAGCAAGTTCTATGGATAGTCAAGCTTCTCATATGGAAGAGGAATTAAAATCCATATCACCAGCCAGCAGAAAGAGTATCATATTTTTCTCTTCACAGTTATAGAAGGATGTGACTTAAGTCCTAATTGGGAACACTTCATGTCATTTATAATGACAGATACCCTTTTAAGTAAACTTTGTATTCTCTTTCATTCCATCTACCAAAAACAAAAGCTGTTTTCAGTACAGCATGTTGAGGTGAAAGGGAAATTGTTGTGTGTGGTTTTTCTGCCCTGGTTTGGGAAGTTCATTTTGTGCAGCTGTCAGGAAGTTTGCCCAATGACTTTTGCCTTTTACCATCACCCCTTCTCTAGCTCTAAAGACAGATTTCCCACTTTCATTCTTTTCTCTCTTTCTCCTTCCTTCCTCCCCCTCCCTCACACCTGCCTCCACTTCTCTCATCCACTCTGATCCTATTCAGTGACACCCCCCACCCCAAGGAACACTGTTAGTAAAGGAAACTAAGGTTTTATAACCTTTGGGGAGATTTTATTGCAGTCAGAAGGGCCTGTTAAACCCGGCCCACCTTGACTTGTCATCACATGTTGTGTTTTGACTCTTCAGAACTGTGTAGATTGAGGGCCTGTTATGTTGTGTCCCTCCTTCATTTCTTTGTAAGCATTTGACTTCACTGAATATTCTAGGAGCTTCAAATAGATCAAAATAACAGTCTGTGCCTTCAGGGAACTCATGCTGGCCTAAGGATGGGGACTGGGAGGGGGCAGTAGATTTATGAATAACAAATTTTCCCTAATTAATCTGAACCTGAATTGATTCACTATTAAATCTTCTTTGAAGATGTCTTTTCAGGTATCAAATTCACCAATTTCCATGGGCCAAGAGTTATAAATTTTCTAGTAAAAGGATAGGTCTTGAATTCAGATTCAGTTAAATCAAAATCCAAACTCTGCCTTGACAAGTTACTGAATCTCATTCAGTCATGTCTTTCTAGTGTAAAGTGGAAATGAAACTTCAAAAGTCTGGCATGAAGATTTAATAAGAAAATTTCATACAAAGCAACTGGCTTAATTCCTGGTGCATAGGACATTACTTTCCTTCTCTCTCTTCCCAAAGCCCTATCAGATTAGAGTTATTATTACTATTTCCATTTCATAGGTAAGGAACTAAGGCACAGAGATGTCACTTTACCAAGGCAATTTACCATGGTACACTGTAACATGTGAGTTATTTAGTTCTTAAAGTCTGATTATAAGGGTGCTGGTCATGGCAAAAGAGCCAACCCAGCTGAAACTGAAACCTACAAATAGGCAGTCCTTAGATATTGGGTTCCATTGTGTTTGCACTGAGATTTGAAAATCAAGAAAATTCACAGTAAAGTCTATATTTCTGACTTATCTCCAGAAAATGTTGTTAATTTGTCAATAGGCAGCCCCATATCCTGGTTTGGCCACAAACTGTTAACTGGCGACCACTCACTGGCACATGTTCCAGCTCTCACAGTTGCCAGTATTTACAGTTGTGTTAGGAAGGGCCTGCTTCATGTCTGAATTACACACATATTGACACAGAAATAGGCAATGTTCTGAATATAGACACAAAAATCTATGCTTAATAATGTGCACATGGTGTTTGAAATAATGAAGGGCATAAAAGAGCATATGAATGCAGGAAAGAGGTCTGAGTGAAAAAACAATCAGCAATCAGTTTCAAATCACAACCACTTGCATGCTTGTATAAGCCTTTGAGTCACATGTGCAGAATTGTAAAGCTCTGCCTTTCCTCTCCATATAACTCACAACCTAAACACACAGCCAAAAATGCAGGTTTCTTTATAGACCATTAGGGTAAGACTCATTTGCTTTCAATATTAAAAACATCCTTCTTTCACAGAAATAGAAAGCATAGTTTGTTTTTCATGTGCCACAACATCTAAATCTTTTTTTTTTTATCTTTTATTTCTCTAGGCCTTACTGATTGGCATGACCTTGGAGAGCAAACTGATGTATTAGCAAAATTCTTCTAGAAACAACAAGGTGTAGTGAGAAGAAGGCATCCAGCCTTCTCTTATAAACCTATGAAATGAAAGGAGTCAGCTGAATTTTTAAGCAAAGAAACCATAGCTAAAAAGTTATCCAAGATCACACGGACCCAAAACTTTGCACAAACTTTATCAGTCTATCTATCTGAAAATCATGTTTAAAGAAGTCATCTTGGGCCCACCTGGTGGCACACATGGTTAAATAAAGCACAGCACTGTGAAGCTACCCACAGCCACTGCAGCACAAGTTCCACTCCCAGACAGGGAGGTGACCCACAGGACCACTAGCTGATCTCCTCAGCAGTGTGTTTCAGTGGATCTGCCTGTTCTGTTTCCCACTCTGTCTCTGGTGAATCCTCTCACCACAACCCCACACCTCTGGCCTGTACCCAGTTCTTGTATAATAAATAAATAAATCTTTGAAAAAATCAGAGAAGTTATCTTTGGTGTTATCATTTATGCCACAATAATAATGCACACCCTGTATTTGAGTATCTTCCTAGTAGGCAGGTAGGTAAGAAGGGAATAGATAGATGGTAGCTAGATAGATCAATAGATAGATAGATAGATAAAGTTGTATTTGGCCAGGAGAGAACATTAATATACTCATTAATGTCCTTACATTTGTAATATGTGAATCATTTTTTGTTTTACCTTCTTGTTTTGTTTACTTAGGTCCACTAAACTGAGATCAGAAAGTGCATCATCTATGTACCAGTTTATTATCGTTTTATTTTTACTATGAACCTGCAGTAATACTTGTAATATTTACAAAACTCTAAATTTAAAATCATTTTCTTCCTGTAATCTCTCCGATTTTGCCTTCTTAGAAGTACACAAAAGCATTTCAACCACTCCCAAATTCCCTCTTGTAATACCCTCAATGATTCTGAAATATTTTGTTATTCCCCAAATACCGCCCTAAAGACAAATCATTGGACTCCAGGCTCTTCATACTGCCAAGTTGAATAGAGTTCAAATGTTCTATTTAACCAAACTCTAATTTACAAGAAAGTAGTAGATGATGTGTAAGATATTCTGAAAATACCAAGGTAACAGAAAAAAAAAAAATTGTCATCAAGAAGTCTTCCCAGAACCTTTTATAATCAAATATAATCATTTTTATCAATTTACTGTAACCTGATTATAACACACATGTGTATATCCTTATAACTAATTACATAAGTCAACTTTCATTATAATAATGTATAGCTTAAGATTTCTCTACCTAGAACAATTAGTATTTCAAAATTTATGATTGTTTTCCTATTTTAGACATCAGAATGTGCACAGGGACTGAAAACAAAATTATTAGCTTAGTAACTTTTTTTAAATTTAATAAGTCATTGAAAATAATCTTTTTGAATTAACCATTTTATAGTAAGGTATGGATGTGAAAACATAACAGAGACAACGACATTTTCCAAAATGACATAGCACCTACTAGGATTTTTAATGGTAAAAAAAAAAGTGGCTCATGGAAGAACAATTTTCAAAATGACCAATGCATAGCCAGACATCTCTTCCTCTATAGAAGCTTCACAAAAGGCCATACTCCCTCTGACCTCAAAGTTTTGATTCCAGTCAGTTCTTACCCATTTACTGGAAGTTTTGCTAAGCTTTAAGCAGATGCTTTTACTAGAAGTTTTGCTAAGCTTTAAGCAGATGCTACCTAGATCTTTGGTGACATTAAAAGTTTAAGGTAAATTTCCTTATTGTTTCCAGAACCGTGTGAACATAAAATCAAACCTTGCAAAGTCACATCATTATGTGGTTGAATTAAATTTTTTTAAGTAATAAGCTCCTTGAAGACAAGAATACTTTTGTTTCCCTATCTCTATGATAACGCTGGCACATGGGGAAAAGCACAGCATACAACAAATTCAGTTCTTATAAGAATAAATTCTGAAATTCCACAAACTTCTCCCGATGACTCTCCTGAGCATAAAGTCATATAACCAGAAAGGAAAAAAATCCCAAAAAGCAGTTTGTCCTATACATCAACTCACATATTTATAGAGTTTTAGAGCAAAATGGATATTGACAATTGCCTTTAAACTCGGCCATTTCACATATAAGGAAATTGAAGGGGAAGCTCTCAGGGCTAGTGACCAGGCCTGGCTGGCCTCCCAGAGTGGCAGTGCCAGAGCCTTTTCTGCTACGTCTTCTGCCTGTCTCTACAGATAGCTCCCACAACTTCAACCCCCAAAAAGTATCTGTAGACTTGAAGATTTCATCCTGAAAATCTTCCCCAAAATCTCATGTGATTTGCGTTTGGGATAGGAGAAAGTGGGAGGTTTTCATTAACTAAAAAGTTGATGTTGAGGCCCTCCCTGGTGGCAGTGGGTTAAAACACAGCACTGAGAAGCTAAAGCCACTTCCGCATGAGTTCGATTCCCGCCTGCCCCGGAGGAGATTCCCATGGCGTGGCAGACCTCTCCTGAAGCGCCCGCTGCTCCCCTCAGCAGTGTACTTCGTTGATCTGCCTGTTCTGCTCCCCGCTCTGTCTCTGGTGAATCCTCTCACCCTCCGCATCTCTGGCCTGTACCCCATTTCTATATGAATAAATGAATAAATCTTAAAAAAAAAAAAAAAGTTCATGTTGAATGACCTGCAGGATCTCAGTTGGGTGGAGATTTTTTGAGACCATCTGAATCCTTGAAATGGCTTATTACTCTTACTTTATTTCCTGAATAGCTGCTGTGTGTGTGTGTGTGTGTGTGTGTGTGTATTATTGTCTACTGCTAGTGTTGCAACAGAGAGGCCAAAACTCTGGTTTGGCCACAAGAGGGCACTTAACAACATTTCCTGCCTGATCTTTGCAATTCTAAACTGTCAAATTGGGCTTTTCAGGACTAAGTCTGCCACAGAATCACTGGTAACACCTTTCATGTGAATTCTGAAACTGTCACAAACATTCTTTCTTGGTGTTTCTTGGGACATATTTTGTTTTGTTTTCAAACAAATTATTTCCCTACTTTGTCCCAGATCTAGAGGCCTCTTTTAGAACTCTATGCCAAGATAACCATCTACACATATTTTTGGAGAATAATAAATCATTAAGCTAATTTGGAAACCCACAGAAAATGCTTTATTTTAATTATATTTGACCCCAGATAAAAATAAAAACAAAAATGATCATCTGATTCCACCACACTTAACAAAGCTTGTTCTAAGAGCTTTACAGGATTTGCCAAATATTTGCCTCATCTGAAAGCCTTCATTCGTCATTCCCACTTTTGTGATATCCTGAAATCTTTCAAGTTAAAATTTATTATGGAATTTTATCACTGAGCTAAATAGCGGGAGGTCTGCAGACAAACAACAAAAAGAGATTAATGATACCTAAATTCCATATCCTCATAGTTCTATAAAAACAAAATTTATTTCATTTTCTAGGTGAATAGAATTGGGAGTTAATTTGAAAAGTAAATGTCAGGGTGTGTGTGTGTGTGTGTGCTAACTTATAGTTATTGATAGCTTGCATATTTACCAATTTTTTTTTGTAGTTTCTGAAGGATGCATAGAAATATATTTTGAGTTTTTATGAAGTCTTACCCCAATAATCCTTTTTAAATTTGCAACTCCTCCTCACCCCTACATATCCTGTCACTATTCCCCACTGCATTTTTCTCAGTAACACTTATCAACCCCCTCATGCTTCATATTATACTTGGTTCCTGTTATTCTCTTCCAAAATACTCCCCCAACAAGCAAAAGCCCTGTGACAAAAGAAATTTTCTTTTCGTTTTTGCCACATCCTCAAAGTCTAAATAGTGTCTAACAAATTGTAGGAACTCAATAATTCAGCAACATAGTGAAATTGCAAAAATTGGAGCATTTTATTAGAACTCGTTTTTAAAATAGGTTACTTTCTTGTTATCCAAGTGCATCCAAGGAGGCCTCCTTAAAATAGATAATAACCCACTTATCAGATAGGAAAATATTTCTTGCAACAAATATTTTAAATAATACTTGGATTCCTGATTATTGCTGAGAGCTTCCTTTTGGCTGTTTAGACCCAGCTGTTTCCTCTTTCCAAGGAATCAATCAAGCCTGGACCGAATTTTAGCGAACAAGAGTTGCCATACAATCACATGAACAAAGCAGTGATTTAGAGGACAGAGCAGTGACTTCACAGCAAGGAGACCAGGGTGCTTGCTGTTCTGATTCTCCCTCTGCCACTAGCTTGTCAGGAGAGAGGTGATCCACTTATTGTGAAAATCTTAACTTGCTAAAAGAGTAAAAGAGTGGCTATAACACTATTCTTGTCTATATTAAAGAATTTTAGACTTTCAAGAAATAGTAAAAAGGGAAAATGTTTTTATAAGTATGGAGTATTTTTCGGGTGTTATTAAAATCAGTGTTTCTTGTTCTCTGCTATGTTGCCACTGTTTGGGATGAACAATCAATTATATTTAATGATTTAATGTAGTTGTGAGTTAGATGCAATTCTCTGTGTTTTTTGGACTCCCTCCCCCCATGGTACTCTCACCATAGTTGAATTCATTTCACCCTGGAAGCTCTGCCCCATCCTTTCTCTAGGATAAATTCCAGTTGGAAAGAGAAGGCATTAAAGGAGCTATTTGGCCCCATAACTAAAGTTCATATCATGTTCAGTAGTTATTTCAGCCATGATCAGGTGTCCAAAGCTGATAACTAAGCAGCTTCCTTCTTTCCACTTCCTCCTGAAAGCATTCTCACAGAGACATTTGTCTCCGTCCATCTAGGATATTATAACACAATACTTTGGATTGGGGGCACTAATTAACAACAGAAATTTATTTCTCATAATTCTGGAGGCTGAAAATTACAATCAAATTGCTGGACGGTTTAATGTAAGGGTCAGGCACCAGCCAAACGTAGGCATAAGGAAGGAGCAGTTACTCCAAGCAGAAGCAGATATTTGGGAGCAAGAACCTCATGGCTTGTTCATCACCATCGGTTAATGTAAGACGGGCAGAAAAATAAGTGCCAGTGCCTTGTCAAAATTTTCCACATAGCCGTTTCTCCCCTATACCTAAGCCTGTAAAAACCCTCTTACACTCCCCTCAGCATGACTTCTCTGACTTCAACTCTCTCAGGGGTCAGTGAACTCACCCAGGAGCGCAGAATAAACCTACTTTTGGTTTTACTGGCCTCACTATCTCTTTGCATCCTCCCTACTGCACCAAACCTTTCATTTAGTATCTAGTGAAGAACCGGCTTCTGAATTCATAAGTAATTGT